CTCACTGGCACATTTGCCAGACATACGGTAATCCAAATGGGATTCTCACATCAATATGTGAGTTCCCCCTGTCATTCAACACCAACCTCCGACAAGCACCCACTAATCTAATCTAATGCAATGCTAGGCAGCACTTATAGGGGGTTAATTTGTATGGTTTCGTGTGACCCTACCTATAATAGCTAATTTCTGCACATTAGCTTGGCTACCCTGTTCAACCTCATCTCCGAAGCTGTCAGATTTAAAAATTACAAATGCACTGAACTGTACAAAAAATAATTTTGATAGCTGGCAAAACTATGCACAACAGTATGGCTGGCTTGGGATTGTTGCTTAGCAAGGTAGAGTATTTCTTTCTGCAGATTGGTTTTAATTCATTTGTTTGCTTCTTGGACATTGGGCAGATCCAGATGGATCAGAAATGTGAAATGGCTGAGCAAAGGTGGACATTCAGAGGTAGCAAAAATTTGCCTTGAGGCTGTTGTGTGTGTTAGGTGACTCCTTAAGGTACAGAGCTTTAGAAGAGTCCAAGGTGCACCTAGACCAGCATCCTGAATCCTACAAAAGCCAGCCAGATGCCTCCAGAAGCCCAGTAGCAGGGCACAAAGGGCAGCAGCCTTCCTCTACAGTTGCTCATCGAAGAGTGTGTGTTTGTGGGTATACTCTCTCTGAACGTGGATGTTTCATAGACATCCTGGCTCACAGACATTGATAGAATTCTCCTCCATGTGTTTGTTGAGTCCCATTATAAAGTTGCTTAAGTTAGAGGCCAGACCACATCTGTGGCAACTAATTACAAAAAAAAAATGGGTTGTGGAGCAATGGGTCAGTGTGTCTGGCTATTAACCAGAAGATTGGTGGTTTGAGCCCGCCTAAGGACAGCTGTGGGAAGGATTCCTGCATTGCAGGGGTTCGACCAGAGGACCCTTCCATCCCCTCCCAGATATACAATTCTGATTGGATCCAACTAAGGATATACTCAGAGTAGACCCATTAAAATCAATGGGGTTAAGTTTTCCAGGTCCACTGATATTAATTGGTATATTCTGAGTGTGAATTAGTTGAATACAGCTGTGTGTGTGCATGTGAAGTACAATTGTCTTGTTTGCCCTGAATTTTACCACTGATCAATTCCGTTGGATGTCTTGCAAGTACTAATACTTTGAGACACGGAGAAAACATTGTTTGCATGTAGTTTCCTGACAGGCATTATGTCCTGTACTCTGCACAAGGGTCCTTTTGTTACTCCAAGGATAGACAAAGACCAACAGGGCAGATGGGCGCCCCAGCCGATTGATGTTTGTTCTGATTCAGTGGTAAACAGTGTGTTTTCCCAGGAAAAGCAGTGGGTTAAGAAAACCCTCACGCCTGGGAGTCACAAACCTGTGCCTAGAAATCACAGCATGAATGGAATGTGGATGAGCCCTACTCAGGACTATTCATGGAACTCAGGATTGTGTGACAAAATAATATGGACTTCCTGAACATCCATCATTGCAGGTGTTTTTTTTTCCAGAGTTCAGAAGATTAAACAAATTCACTCCTTTATCAAACCATCAAAATATAAAATATCTGCAAAACCTCAAAATGGTATCTTTAATATTTTATTCCTACCCAGCTCCAACAACCCAATCCATTTTGCACATGAAACACCTCTCATTGGCCTGGTCAGAGTTACTCAATCCTGATTTTATGTATCTTGAAAGAATGGGTTTCTAAAGACCTTAATTTGTATTAATGCCCTCTTCTAAAACTTTTGACAGAACTCCATTCATAATGAAATGATCGGAAGGTAATTATTTCACTTTCTTCTTCTCCAGGAATTATGGGAATTATTTATATACTCAATCTTAATATCATAGCTTCATTGCCTAATAGGAAAAATCCACAGGATATGAATCACTGGAGAAAGAATTAAAAATCTTTCCTGTTTTAATTTTTTCTTTTAAAGAAAAAAAGATAAAAAGATTTTCTAATGGTGTAAAATCCACAGTGCTGCAGGCACAACTTGCAAATCAGAGCTACCTCTCTGTAACTCCATGCTACCAGTTAATGCTCCTGGTCCCTTTGTCGGAAAAAGCTATAAACTGCAGTGCTGTAATGATTAGTTAATGAAATAGTGGAGTGATAATGAGGCTATAAGAAATGTAAGTTAAATTATTAATTTGAAAAGGTAACCACAAAAAGTAATGGAAGCTGGAAGATGCACGCTCCTTTTTTTTCCGCCAAAGTGCGGTCAAAAGAAGTAAACTAGGTGGTAGCTCAGCCCCTTGCCTTCAGCCCCTGGTCATGTTCTAATGGAACTCCTGACATTACAAATGCATTCATTTGACAGTTGTTCCCCTCTCATAAAATAATGGGTCATGCACAAAGCTTATTACAAATTGCACAGAAGCTGTAAAAGCCATAAAAATTTCAACTGACATTTACGACGCAGAAGTAGCTTGAGGATGTTGATACATATTGATAAGAGTCTAGAGTGTGACATTTGGAAAGTTTACTCCTAATTCATTTGCAGAGCATGTAATATATATTGTCTAACACGCAGTCCTGTCATGCCACTGTCTTACAACATATACACCTGTTTACAAAAAAAGAAAAAAAAGAAAAGGTATCTCCTCTGTTTTCCCCAACCTTCACGCTCAAGCAATTTTCTTTTCCTCTGTGGAAAACAGTCCTCTTTCTAATCACAGATGAATTAACCCAGTAATACTAACATATGGTTCCTTCTCAAATCAAGTAACGGCTGAGCAGAAATAGCCTCCCAAATTTCTCCACCCTGTTTGTGGCTGGCAAAATTGGAGGAGTGATTTTGTTAAATAATTCTTCAGGGAGTCAGTAAAATTCTCCAGCCCTCGTCTAGCATGCACTAACTTCTCCCCAAACCTGTTGGGTTGTACCTTATGAAAGTATACTCAGAGTAGACTTATTGTTATTAATGTTCCATAACTTGAAAGGACCTACTTTGAGTAGTACTTGCATTGGATATAACCCAAAATCTGCTAGAAAGTCTCATAACTTTGTGCTTTAAGGCAATGCCATTTGGGAATGAACCTGGCCACAATAGGAAGCCATTCAGGCATATACTTGTGTTGCTTATCAACCACACGTGCCTGCAACCCACTTGCTGAACCCTCAGCCACCCCCACCCTTCAACCCCCACAGCGTCTTCCATTGAAAAATCAACAACAACAACCTGCTACCCGCACCCCATTGACAATCCCAATTCACACAAAACTTCTCCCTTCCCATCCCTTCATTGATCACACCCATGGCCATTCCAGATGTTTTGGCATCTAAGGCTAACCAGAAAATGGCATCCACCCTCCCCGCCAAGGAAGAAGGGCTGAGTGAAAATCTACATCAGAAACAGAGAGGAAAAATAAAGATCTACATTGGGATCTGCCACTCCAGTGGATCCTGATGCTTGAGGCCATCACCTCAGCTTGCTCCATGGATGGTTCACCCTGATCACACCAGTCCAAAGCTCTTGCTGCCACTCACAGAGGAGAAGGGAATGCAGAGGATAAAGTATTTCTCCCCTTCCTTAATGCCACTGTCAGAAGGAAGTGGGTGGTGGTGCAGGGTAAAATACTTTCTCCTCTTGATTCTTCTTCCCATTGCAAGTGACAGTGGGATCTTGGGGTTCAGGCAAGTTATGTTGGGATGGGGGAGTTCTGGGGGGTGGCAGCAACAATGAGATGTGGCCCTCACTCAGCAGGGCCACCTGTTCATTCAGAGTTTGGGCTTCACTGTTGTGTGTGCATGCCAGCAGGTAGGCAAGTTGCAGTGACAACACAAGGAACATGGGGAGGCCCACCTGGGCTACCTACCTGCAAACTCCCTTGTTAGTTCTGCCTGTCATGCTGCCTGCCAACTTCCTTTGCTCACTCACTCTACCTGGTGTCATCACACTGTATTTTGCATGGCCACCAACAGGCAGCCACACAAATTGGAGCATGACGACACTTTACATTGTTATGTATATAGGAAGAAGGAATCCTGCACATGACCAAAAGCTGGAGCACCTTCAAGCACTCATATAACAAGCACCCCAGGTTATCAGAATCCTTATGTACCTCCTGGGTGCAGTTTGCCTTACAGTCACTGGTTTGGGGGAAGGATTATGGAGCACCAACACTCAAACCAGACAGCCCATCCATGTGTAAATTGTCCCAGTGCTATTGAGAGTAAAGGAATTCTCACTAATTCTGTGGTCCTAGTCTGCTGGCACCTTACACAAAAAGTTGACCAAGCAAACATTTGAAAAGAGAGCAGAAAAGGGATAAAGAATAAAGCAGTGAGGGTCACTTTTATTTACAACACTGTCATAGTTCTATAGTTCTCTGACTGTTAAAACATTAATGTATTCCATACATGCCACTGCAAGATATTGTAGCAAGTGTAAATAAGACCTTTCCAACACAAAGTGTAACATTTATTTGAAAAGAGAGATGTTTGCATGAACATCATTGAAAAATTATTCCTCTTTTAGATTGCAAAGGATCTATATATAGATATATAGATATATCTGGGATTAAAAAGAGTGTGAGTAATTCTGTGCATTTTTTCCCCTTTAAACAAAGATGACAACTTCAAAAGGAGATATTTTTATCTGTCACAGATGAAGCTATGGCAATTACAATAGGTCCCATTGTATCAATCCTTTTGCTGGTTTATGGCTTGCAATTCCTTCAGGAAATGTCACAAATCCACAGGATGTCCTTGAGCTTCAGAGTTTGCATTTCAACCTTTGATTTGGCTGATGAAAAACATACATATAAGTATGTGCATTTACCCATTTGGTTCCTTAGCAACTCTCTCTTTGCAAAACACTATTAACAAAGTCAGAATTTAGTCTTATAGGCCCTGGTGGGTAAAGTCATCATGAGCAAGCTTTGCAATTCCTTTAGGACATTATCAAAAAAGGCAGATTCCTAGATGCTAGGATCATTTTAAAGCACCCCAATACTTATCTATCTACACAGTCTAATAACAATGGCTGGTATAGCTCAATCGGTAGAGCATGAGACTCTTAATCTCAAGGTCATTGGTTCAAGCCCCAAGTTGGGCAAAATATTCTTGCATTGCAGAGGGTTGGACTAGATGACCCTAGTAAAGGTAAAGGGACCCCTGACCATTAGGTCCAATCATGACCGACTCTGGGTTTGCAGCGCTCATCTTGCTTTACTGGCCGAGGGAGCCGGCATACAGCTTCCGGGTCATGTGGCCAGCATGACTAAGCCGCTTCCAGCGACCCAGAGCAGCGCACGGAAACGCCGTTTACCTTCCCGCTGGAGGGTACCTATTTATCTACTTGCACTTTGACGTGCTTTCGAACTGCTAGGTTGGCAGGAGCAGGGACCGAGCAATGGGGAGCTCACCCCGTCGCAGGGATTCGAACCGTCGACCTTCTGATCGGCAAGTCCTAGGCTCTGTGGTTTAACCCATAGTGCCACCCTTATCCCTATGACCCTAGTGGTCCCTTCCAATTCTATGATTCTATTATTCTAACAACCTGAGCACATTATCATATTTTTAGTGATCCTGCCACAAACTCATTATAGTGTGTAATGGACTGGGTAGAGGGTTGTCCTGGTATCTCACTCACATGAGGGTCTGGGAGCACCAACTCCTTATGACCCCAAGAAGAGTTCTGCTGGATCAAACCAAAGACTCATATAGTACAGCAACCTGTTCTCGCAGTGGCTGACCAGATGTCCCCAAGAGAAGTCTGCAAGCAGGTCTCCCAACTTCAGATTCCCAGAAAATGCTATTCATAGTAGGAATGTCAGAGGAATCTGTTGAAAATTGACTGGCAAGTGACTTCCATACAAATGGACTTCCATCTGCTCATTCAACCACCATATTGGCACAGATTCTGTCTGTGAAGGCATTTCACCTTGGTTTGCTCTAAGATAGCCTCTGCAGTATCCTCCAGGTGTTGTTGGACCACAACTCCTACCAAACAAGTGTGGTCAGTGGTTGGGAATGACAGAAGTTGTAATCCACCAGCAGCTTTAGCGTACCACATTGGCTACCATCTGCTCTAGAACATTCTTTTTTTTTTAATAAAACATTTTTATTAAGATTTTACAACAGGTTTTAATGTATTCAGGAAGTCGGTCAATTGTTACCTATGCAATATCTGCAACAAGTTATAACTTGTCTGCTGGTTAAAGATCAAGGCGAGACTCCTTTCAGTATTCCATTGCATTTTTGGTGCACTGAGGGTTGGGGAAATTGTGTTGGAGCCAGCACGGGGCTGAGAGTCTGGAGGCTTATTGCTTCAGGACTTTTCCTTATCTGCTTTGGAGCTGGTCATTAGAGTGGGGAACTCTAAAACAGACCTAGTGGACAGGAGTGCCACCATCAGGCTTCCCCTCACAGGTGAGGAGGGCCCTTGCCCAGTTATGGATACCAGAAATATTTGGCTTTTCATTCCCCTGGGGGCTGGCCCACTCCTAGTGCATGAAAATGGGTTCCCGTTAGCCAGGCATCTAATTGCTCACGTCGTGCGCCAGTTATTGCAGCCTGTGGCTTGCCTACCGCTGAACACGCCTCATTCCTTCCGAATAGGGCTGCTGCAAAGGCTGCACACTGGGGGCCTGTCAGTAGACAGGATTGTGAATACGGGTCATTGGAAGTCTGATGCTGACAAGGGTTACATCAGGAAGTGTCACCAATGATGTCTGTGCTGATGCCTGTCTGTCATTTCCTTTTTTCATAGGAGCAGCTGTGCACATTTAGATTGGCAGTTGAGCAGGCCAGAAAGCATGTTAATAAGGCGGTGGAAAATAAATAAAATAAAATAAAGTAAAATAAATAAATAATAAACAAATTAAAAAAAAAATAAAGCATTGTACACTGGGCTGGCAAGCGCGCTGACGAGTCTGGACTGGGGCGCCATCTCAGTCTTCCTGCCCAAGTGAACATATACTGGGTGTCCAGATGGGGAATGCTTTGGGAGGAGTTCCTTCCTTTGGTGCGGTTGAGTGTGACCTGTACAGGTCCTCCCGCAGTGCTAGTGGTGCAGCTGGACGAGAATGACTTGCCGTCTTCTTACAGCATAAGTTTGCGTTCCTGCATGCAGGAGGACTTGGATGAGTTGATGGCAGCTCTCCCTGGACTCAAAATAATTTAAGGCATTGGTTCAAGGTAGTCTGGAGGGGGGTCGGAGCACCTGTCCCCTCCCATGCGCAAAGGTAATCCTTTAAAGGAATCCAAGGATTCGCCATTCTTTTGTCAACCCCTTTCGAGGGGTAGGGCCACGCAAGGGTCCCTGGAGCATTTGGGGTGCGCTTGAGTCTGATCCTGGTTCATTGCTCCCCCACGATGTTTGCTTGTACTGACAATATGGTGGGGCCCAGTCGTCAGTGCTGCCCTGCTGAGGTCAGGTGCAGATAGTCAGAACCAATGCCTAGACAAACTACCACCGAGCAGGCCAGAAAGCATGTTAATAAGACGGTGGAAAATAAAATACAATACAATAAATAAAATAAAATAAATAAATAAATAAATAAAATAAAATATATATAAATAATAAAATAAAATAAAATAAAATAACTGTGGTTCTGTGATATTGCACCCTGCTATTTCCTTCAAGGCTGTTGCCCTCTTTAGGGCAGATGGGGTGCATCTTTCCCCTATGGGGAACGACACCTGGCTGGATGCGGTTGCTTTGGGATTGAAGGAAGGGTTGCATTTGTGAGTGGTTTGGCGGTGAGCTTCAGTGCTCAGTTGACGGTTAGGCATTGGTCTGGAATTGGTTGCTGGGGGGTATGGATTCGGCTGTGCGTGCCCCTCAAAATGCTGCTGCTGGTGGAGGGGTATGGATTCGGTTGTGCCTGCCCCTCCAAAATGCTGCTGCTGCTGCTGAAGGGTTTTACCGTTAAAGGAACCCAGGGGCTCCCCCATGCTTTTGTCCGAACCCCCCTGGCAAGGGCTAGGGCCACGCAGGCCCTGGGAGCATGCTGGGGAGAGGTGAGGCATGGTTCCCAGTCCCGTCTCTCTCCCAGGTGACGTACCCGTCCTGACTTCGCAGGGGGTGCAAATGCCAGAGCTGTCCCCGTGCGGGGCAGTTAGTGCTACCAATGCCTAAGCAACCACTCACATTGCTGTATTTGAATAAAGTTGTGGCCAAAATTATGCCAAAAACCTTAAACAAAAATTAAGTGTCAATTGTGTTTTTCTTGGGGGGGTGTCTTGGGGACCTCAACGCGCAAATAGATTATTCTTGTCTCCTGGTAAATCTTGACCTACAGTACCTAATAAAAACACTTCTGGTCTTTTAACAATGGTTATCTTGAACATTTTTTTCATTATGAGTCATATCCCAGTAATTTCTAATTATTTTACAATTCCACCACATATGAAAAAAGGTACCTTCCTTTTCTTCACATTTCCAGCACTTGTTGAAACTTGTTCTATACATTTTTGCCATTTTCACCAGTGTAACATACCATCTGTACATCATTTACATATAATTCTCTTTCAGCAATATACAATTCGTACATTTTAATTTACTTTTCCTTAACTTTTTCCCAATCTTCAATTTGTATATTATGTCCTATATCTTGTGCCCATTTAATCATTACTGATTTCACCTCCTCATCTTTTGTCTCCCATTCTAACAATAAGCTATAAGTTTTCTTTAATAATTTACTATTTTCTTCTATTATTTCTATTTGGAATCTAGATACGGTATAACTAAATCCTTTCTCATTATCTTCCTTGAAAATCTCATTTAGTTGTCGATGTTGCAGCCAATCATAGACCAAGTCTTTTATTTCATCATAATATTTTAAGTCTTAATTTCTCTTCTCTAAATCACTAAATCTCTATATATCAGCCATTTTGCTTTCATATTTATTCTTTTAGTTGACATTGCCACTGTTGGGGCCACCCACCAGGGTGTTTTTTGCTCTAATAGAACTTTATATATTTATAACATTTTCTTTTTTTTAACATGCACACACTGATTATGTGGAATGCCTAGGAAGTGGTTTCTCTGTACTGAGGTGGAAGGAAGAGAAGCCCCTCTTTCTGCCTGGGACAAACTATTAAAAACAGTTTTAAAAACATTCACACTGAGAGAAAATGTTTTTAAAAGAACTAAACATGAGTATTTAGTTTCTGTTTAAATGCAAACTTTTAAATAGCACCCCGCCCCAATTTTTAAATGCAGATGGGTGGGATGGAATGTAGATATTGAATGGAATGGACTGGTGCACAGACTGTTATTTGTCCATACCTATAAAAATCCATTCTTGAGCTGAAATATTTTCCAGAAGATGAGAGGCGGTGGGAGGAAGCCGCTGCAGAAAATCTGACACACATATGTCTTGGTCTTAAGAGGGGTTTAACACGGGGATTCATGCATAATGTTCAAAATATGTTGGGATGCAATCATTCCAAACTACAAGAAAGAATAAGCCTAATGAATCTGAAACAGGTTTTGATTAGTATCCTAATTGCAAGATGGTGAGCTCCCAGAAGGTCTTATATACGATATTGAGCTATCCTAACCTTTAATTGCTTCCTAGAATTAATTCGTCTCAGAACTCTTTTAAAAATTAAAATATATAGTTTTTAAGGTGCCTTCAGGTGTTATTTATCACCACGTGACTCTGTCAGTTGAAGAGTTGTGTGTGTGTATTCATATTCCCAGGATGCCACTAACAAGCTTCTGAATACCTGACATTGCATTGTTCCTCAAATTGGTACGACCTTTACATCTCCCAACTAAGTGAGAGGAATGCATATTTTGACAACTACATTACATGCATGTCGTGAAGAGAAAGCATTTAAAAATGTTTGATACATTGAGTCTCCCCTACCTACTCTCAGCAATTATATGACATTTTATTAGAGCTGAAAGTTCTTAAAAGGACTTTTGTCAGCTGCAAGTTGGGGACTGTGGGTGGTGGTGGTGCAGTGGAGAAGGGAGACTCCTGAAACTTCTACTCACTTTTTGTGACTGACTTTTTAGGTGCTCCTGGTGCTTGCTGCCGCAGTTAACACCTGTCTTCTTCAAAAAAGATCCTTCTTCGAAAAAAGACACCAGAATACGCA